TATGTTTTGCAAATATTTTCTCCCAGCTGGTGGGTTGTCTGTTCATTTTGATTCTGGTTTCATTTGTCTTGTAGAAGCTCTTTAATCTGATAAAGTCCCAATTATAGTACAATCTTTTAATAAAACACAAGACATGTTTACCAACAGACCCACAACACCTTTTAGCTTTTCTGTAATAAGAAGCCAAAAGTAGATTATCTTATATTTAGTAATTAATATCTAATATCCTGTCTTATTTGAAAATGATCTAAAATACTTAATGAATTTTTATCATTAACCTAGCAAAACTTCAAAGTTTCAAGTTACCAAAGAGATTTTGGAAGTTATTTTAAGTACAAACTATAATTATTGCTAAAAGTTTATCTATAAACTCTAAAACACTTACATCTAAATCATTTGTTCCCAACAATTATGTTTAGATTACTCAAGAAAACTTCATGAGACACTGGGCAAAATTAGCTATCACTTTAAGCTATTTCTGCTGACAAATTTATAAAAGCGATAACATGTCTGCATCATATCCAATGCTGATAACTCTGACATGTCTATTTTATCAAACCAACAAACTTAAACGAGCTTTCATTCACTAAAGATTATTTTATATCACGTTAACTTGAAAGACATGTAAGTGCTTACTTTAAGCCAATTAAACAGAGCTCTTAATTTTGGCTATACCATCCGGAGGTAAAATATCACACACATGTAACATACATAGAGACACACACATAAACAACAGACAGATGCAACAAAGATTTTATAGCTTCTGTTAAAAATTTTAGCAGTTTGTGTCTGCAAAAGCTTCTTTTCCATTTTTTTTTCCTTTCTGTCTTAGGAATCTCCCCTTTCATTAAGCACTTGCACAAGTCTCCAGAGTTCAGAGGGGAGGCTTTGGGATTGGCTAATGAACTTTGAACTATTTTCTAGAGCCATAACTGCAGAAATTTGCTTGCAGAGATTTGTAGGACAAAGACAGTTGCTTCTAGATCCTCAAAAAACTGGATTACACTTTGAATGACAAGTTGACCCACCCTTCCAGCTACATTTTTTTCCCAAGTGCTTTTTTTTTTTTTTTAATATCAGGGAAAATTTTAACTTAAGAGGTGAATTAAAGATTTGTACATTCTAAAACTTCAGGACAATGTATCACACCTTTAAAAGTCTGCACCTTTCTAAGTGTACAATTTAACTCTACACCTTGGCAAGGGAAAGCTCCTATTATCTTCTTTATTAGCTCCTGATATTAGTCTCTAGTTTTTATCTCATATGGTGTGGGCTCAGGCAACCCCATTGACTTCCTTTTTCTAAGTTTAATTAACACTGTCTGAAGGGCAGATTTATATGCTGTCTTACAATCAGGCATGGGAAACGTTCCCTTTTCCCGGTGAGACACAATGTCTATTCCCATAATACAGTCTATAATACAATTCATGCAAAAATAGATACAATCACTTTATATAAAAGCCCATAAATACATCAGTGTTTCTACAAAATTTCATCCGAATTCCATTAACTCTTATACCTCTAATCATAGTTTTCATTAGGACTTTATCAATAGGTCTTGGTCTTATAATTTTGGACAAGGGAAGCATTCCCAGTGAGACATTTTAAAACACACTCAGGCGAAGTTGATATAACCTCTTTATATAAAATCAGCTCAAACATTCCAACCTTTATAATCTTATCAACACTTACACTTTTACATTTTTCTCAATTTAATTGTAACCTGAGTCAGGGTCTTAAGGCTAGTCATTTTTTGTTCTTTATAAATTTTTGTTTTTAATAATTAATTAATTAATTTATTTATTTTTCCCCCAAAGCCCCAGCAGATAGTTGTACGTCACAGTTGCACATCCCTCCGGTTGCTGTATGTGGGACGCGGCCCCAGCATGGTCGGAGAAGCGGTGCGTCGGTGCGCGCCCGGGATCCGAACCCGGGTCGCCAGCAGCGGAGTGCGTGCACTTAACCACTAAGCCACGGGGCCGGCCCGTCTTTTTTTTTTTTTTAATTGGGCCTTTTCATAGGTACCAAGAAAACAATTATGGTGAGAGCTCTCAAAAATTTTTTTTCGTAGGGCTGGCCCCGTGGCTTGGCGGTTGAGTGCGTGCGCTCCGCTGCTGGCGGCCTGGGTTTGGATCCCGGGCGCGCACCGACGCGCTGCTTCTCTGGCCATGCTGGGGCCGCGTCCCACATACAGCAACTAGAAGGATGTGCAACTATGACATACAACTATCTACTGGGGCTTTGGGGGGAAAAATAAATAAAAATCTTAAAAAGAAAAAAAAAATTTTTTTTCCCCAATTTAGAAGTTTTCCCAATTTAAATGATCCATTGTCTGGCCACATTGACGAGTAGGATCTTAATCTTAACAGCGACTCATACCAAAGCTTAAACATGGACGCAAGAGGCGTCCCCAAAAGAGATCCAGAGAATTCACTTCCCAAAATAAGAAAGCACAACAAGCAAACAATGAAGGTTGAGATGACAAAGCCCCCTTATGAAAGCAAATGGGACCCCTTATGACAAACTTCCCTGAGAGCAGGCACAGCTGGACAAAGAGTGTGTCCCAGAACCCCAGTCTACGCGACTGGCCACCAAGATGCATGCCGGTACGTACATCCTCCGGATGGCAGAGACAAGAAAGGTCACAAAGCCAAGATCCCAAGACATAGAACAAGACAAAAGCCCTGGAACCCCAGTCTACTTGACTGGCTGCCAAGATGCATGCCGGTACATGTATCCTCCGGATGGTGGAGACCTACGAGGTCACAAAGCCAAGCCTCAGACAACAGGCTTATAGAGATGCCTGTGTCTTATGACAAATGACAAAATAAGACAGAGACAAGGAGACATAGTGACTGTATCTAGGAGGAAAAGGATCAATTCACCAGTGAGTACTCAACCAGATCCTAGAGTCGCTGAGTCCAAGAAGCTAGCTTCACTAATACATTTTGGGATGGCCAATTCTGATCTCCCACAAGTGAATATTACAACTTGTTAAATACTTGATGTCTGTTATTATGTTTGAGCTAGCTGAGGCCTCAGATTGGGCGTATGACTCTCCCTGGGTCACATATGAATTACTGTCATTTATGGAGCCCATCCCCACCAGATATGACTCCAGGCCACCCCCAAAGTCACCTGGTTGGCAGTAAATTAGAGGTATGGGATTTGAGCGCAGGATCCCTGATCCCAGGCTGCTCTCTCCTACGCCCAGCTGCTCCTGCAGTCATGTGCTGAGCCCTCCCTTCCCCCTCCTCAGCTAAGAACACCACCAACACCACCCAGGATGAGCAGCACCAGTGGCCGAGCTGTGATCGCCAGGAAGAGATGCTCAACCTGGGCTTCACCATCGGCTCCTTCTTGCTCAGCGCCACCACCCTGCCGCTGGGGATCCTCATGGACCGTTTTGGCCCCCGGCCCACGCGGCTGGTTGGCAGGTGAGGTGGCCAGGCTGTGGGGAGCTGGAGGGCAGACACGGGCACTGTAAGGGGAGGGGAGGCTCTGGTTGTTCACAGGTCAACCCCACCCCCTCCCCTGTCTCCACAGCGCCAGCTTTTCTGCATCCTGCACCCTCATGGCCCTGGCCTCTCGGGACACCGAAGGTGAGATATCTGGCCTCTCATGCCGGCGCAAGAAAAGAATGGGTGGGATGAAGATGGATGTTTACCCCTACGCCTGCCCTAGGTCTCCTGCTGCTCCCCACATGCCCTCATCCACCCCTCTCCCCTTCCCAGTTCTGTCTCCATTGATATTCCTGGCGCTGTCCCTGAATGGCTTTGGTGGCATCTGCCTAACGTTCTCATCACTCACAGTGAGTATGACAAGCCCTGGCTTGGCAGCAGGGCACCCAGGAGTGGGGTGGGGGTAGGAATGAGTGAGGGTCAGAGCGCAAGAGGATCCAGTGGATGCAGATCATATGCACGTGTGTGTGAAACTGTGCAGGCTGCAGCCAAGGGTGGGTGTGAGGCTGTGTACTTGTGGATAAGAATGTGTGTCAGAGGATGGATGTCAGGGTGTGTTTGTGTGTGTGTGTGTATCCGGAGCACATAATGTCTACTGAGCTCTGTTCTAGGCACAGGGGCTACAGCACAAATAACATGGCTCGACCTCTTACGTATGTGTGTGAATTTCGTGTGTGGGTTACTCTAAGTGTGTATGTTGATGTATGTGAGTGAGTGAGTATAAGGGTTAAAGGCTTAGGAGTGTGTGGTGGGGGGAGGGATTCCTGGCTGGGCCAGCCTCGGGGCTGTTTATTTCGGATGAGCTGAGCGCAGCTTGACCGCCAAACTGGATGTTTTTGGCTGAATTTCACCTCACCCAGCAGCCGCCTTTAATTCCAGCCTGGGACATTTCACAACTCTCTAAGGAAGCGATTCCCTTCCTCCCCGCCCCCTCCCTCTGCAGCCCCATCTTCACGCTGTGCAACTTGGCTCAGGGCCCTAAATCCCTTCTCTCCCTTGTCCTGCCCCCCACCGCACCCGGCCTCACCCCCTACCCTGCCCTTGCTAGCCGCGGGGGCTCTGCCCGCCGCAGCCCGCCGCCTCCCCCTCTGCCCCGCCGCCTGTAATCTCCAGCCAATGGCAGAGCCCGGCGCCGGCCCCGCCCCCGGCCTGGCCCCACCCCCGGCCCGGCCCCGCCCCCGGGCCTCCACGCTCGCTGACAGATCCCAGCCAGGATGCCGGTGTTGCCCAGCCCATCACCCTGGGCTAGCCAGACCGGCCTCGCGGTGTGCTGGGCGGAGACGGCGCCCTTGGACCCTGGGGGGTGGGAAGCACCAAGAGCCCAGCTGCTCTCCGGGCCGTAGCACTTTCCCTGGCGTCCTGGGCAGTGTGCCTTGCAGACACAGGGTACCAGGGAAACCTTGACCGAGTGGGGGTCAGCCTGACTCTACCCCCTTTTCACAGCCACTTGGAGGTTGGTGGGGGACTCACTTCTCTGTGTTTATCCACCTTCCTTTCCAGAGCGATTTGAGGTCCCCTTCTGGGCCTCTGTGGAGAGGATTTAAATTTTGTATAGCATCGAAGGCCCTCCCCAGCTATGGGATCTGACCTGGGGCCGATGGTGGGGCCAGAGCGGGTACACAAAGGGTGGCATGACTTTGCTTTCCCCTCCCGCAAGGGTCCCGCTCGGGCCAGTGAGCAGAACATACGATCCATTAATTCTCTACTGGTGGGAGCTCTGGGCCTGCTCTGCACGTCAGAGCCACCGCCTCTGGACACCTGGCCTGCCCCTGCCCCCTCCCTTGGTCTCACCCTCACCTCCCTAGCCCTTCTCATGACTTTCCTGGCTCAGCAGAAACTGTGGGCCCCTTTGGGGCCACTGGGAGAGTGAAGGGGCACCATCCTGTTAAAGAGCCAGCCACGGTCACAGCCTTGGGGCCTGGGATAGAGTGAGGAGAAAGCCATTAACATGCTCAGTGAACTTGAGTACATTTCTTTCCCCTTTGGGACCTCAATTTTCTCATCTGTCAAATGAGTTGCCCTCAATCACTGTTCTTAAACACCCATTCCATGGGTTATTACTAGGTGTCACAAGATAAAGAGGCTCTAGAAAAAACTAACTTGGGAAGTCCTGGGGTTAAACAACATTGACAAAATTTCTCTTTGAGGGCGCTTCTGGGAGCCTTTTAGATGCTAAGTGCATTGGGAGTCCGTAGGAGGGGGGTTAGAGCAGAGTTTCCGACATTGATTTTGCCTGAGAACTTTTCTATTGCCTCTCACGGGGCTGGTGTGCCTGGAGCTCTCTGCTGGGCTAGATGCTTCCAAGCTTTCTCAGGTGGGTCTGGGAAAGGGGAGCCCTGGGCGGGGGTCATGGTCTCCCCCTGCTCACTGGCGCTGCTCTCCTCCCTCAGCTGCCCAACATGTTTGGGAACCTGCGCTCCACCTTAATGGCCCTCATGATCGGCTCCTATGCCTCCTCTGCCATCACATTCCCGGGAATCAAGGTATGGAGCTGCCTGGGGGGCCGTGAGGTCACTTGGGTTTTCTTTTCACCCTGATGTAAGAACTGGGTGGGGCTGGGTAAGTAGTGGCTAGTGTGTCTGTGACCCAGTTCTTGCCTCCGGAGGTCAGTACCCACCCCCTCTGGGAAATCACTGAAGCATCATGGGAAGAGTCAGGTGCTGCTGCTAACCAGTGGGTCTGATTTCTCTTCTCTCTTCTTTTGCTTTACTGTTGTCCCAGTCTGGGCCTTTATCCTCTCTCCTGGGCTGGTGCAAGCTTTCTTAGCTGGTCTCTCTGCCTCTGATCTTTTCCCTCTCTCATCTGTCATTCACATGACTTCCAGAATGATCCTAGATGGAGGACTGGCTCACACACCCGCTCTGCTTCGCCTACAGAATCAAGTCCAACCTCTTCACATGCATTCAAGTCTCTTGATTCTCTGGCCTCACCTTTATGGCCACATCTCCTTCCCCTGCCCTGGGGAGACTGGTTGACTTGGGTCAAGGTCACAAAGCTAGTCTGTGCCAGACAAGATCCCAGACAGGTCAGCCTGGTGGACCTAGAGCCAGAAGGCTGAGTTCTAGCTCTGGGCAAACTTGGGGCCTCATTCCTTCCTCTGACATCAAATGATATCAAAGCACCCTTTCCTTCTTTTTTTTTTTTTAATTGCAATAACATTGGTTTATAACATTGTATAAATTTCAGGTGTACATCATTATACTTTTATTTCTGCATAGATTACATCATGTTCATCACCCAAATACTAATTACAGTCCATCACCACACACATGTGCCTAATCATCCCTTTCACCCTCTGGTAACCACCATTCCAATCTCTGTCTTTATGTGATTGTTTGTTGTTGTTTTTATCTTCTACTTATGAGTGAGATCATACCGTATTTGACCTTCTCCCTCTGACTTATTTCTCTTAGCATAATACCCTCAATGTCCATCCATGTTGTCACAAATGGCTGGATTTCATCGTTTCTTGTGGCTGAGTAGTATTCCATTGTGTATATATACCACATCTTCTTTATCCATTCATCCCCTGATGGGCACTTAGGTTGCTTCCAAATCTTGGCTATTGTGAATAATGCTGCAGTGAACACGGGGGTGCACGCATCTTGACTCATTGGTGTTTTCATGTTCTTTGGATAAATACCCAGCAGTGGAATAGCTGGATCGTATGGTAGTTCTAGCCTTAACTTTTTGAGAAATCTCCATACTGTTTTCCATAGTGGCTGCACCAGTTTGCACTCCCACCAGCAGCAAAGCACCCTTTCAACTGGGCTATAATGTGCCCCTCAGATTCTGCCTTGGACTGTTAATTTGTTCGTTTAGAAGGCACTAGCTCAGCGTCCCCAAAGGAGTTTGAGAATGTGCATTGGTGGGGGTGGCCATCAGCTGTTCGGGTAGCAGCAGCCACGGAGGGTGGCAGTTCTCCCTTCTTTTGCAGTGGGGTTTGAGGAGCCAGATCTTACCCCTACTCGTATGGGGGTGTGGCCTTTTGAAGCTCTGTCCTGCCCCCATGGAAGAAAGAGCCCCAAGGCCGAGGAGGAGCAGAAGTTTTCCCAGGCAGCACTGGAGCCTGAGGGGAGGGCAGAGGGTGGCAGGGAGGACAAGAGAAACGACACCATCTCTATGTACCTGGCTTCCCCAGTAGAGGGGCTGACACATTGGCACAGAATCCCAGTCAATTCAGAACCTATTGTCCCTGGTTAGAAGGCTTTGGGCAGAGCCCTAGCACACCCCCCTCCCCGCTCAGTTGCTGCACCTGGAGCACCCATGAACACCTGTGAAAAGTGAGATAAGGCTTCTCAGATTGGGTTTGCCTTTCCCCCAGAGAACGTGCCAGGAAGGGGAAGGACAAACACGGTTAGGCCTGGTGCACCTCGAACATTCATTCTCTTCTTTCGTACATAAAACGAAATGACATTTTTGTGTGAAAACAAGCCTGTGTATGGTGTCACAGGCAAAATGTGTGTGCCTTTTTAAGATCAGAATTGAGATTTCAAGGACATTTTGGACTTGTGGCCAGCAACTTCAGCACCTTGTGGGAACTACTTCCACCTCTCTAGGGAGGCTGGGGTGAAAAATAAAGAGGACGGTGGGGCCTCTAGGTCTGACTCTAAACTTCTGGCCTTGGTTTCCTCATCTGTAAATTGGGCACAAGGAATAGGGTAGAAGAGACCTTCTGTGAGGCCTCTGAGTCCTGGGTTCTACCTCGGGCTGGAAGAGGCAGGTCTGGGCCCAGGCGGCCTCTTCCATGGGCCTGCCCGCTCCTCCCACAGCTGATCTACGATGCCGGAGTATCTTTCGTGGTTATCATGTTCACCTGGTCGGGCCTGGCCTGCCTCATCTTTCTGAACTGTGCCCTCAACTGGCCCAGTGAATCCTTTCCTGCACCTGAGGAAGTTGACTACACGTGAGTGGCTGTGTGGGGGGGCCGGAGTGGGAGGGGGGCTCCTCCTGCTGCAGAGGAGGAGGCCAGGGGTGTGGTGGTGTGATGGACAGAATCAGCTTTGGAGTCGGAGAGACCTGGATTTCCTGAGCTTTCCGAGCTCTGCTCTCTCATCTGTGCAAAGGGCCTGATCCTGCCCCCGGCCAGGTGTTGTGAATAGACCTGGCACATAAGAGGCCGTCAAAACAGGGTGACTGTTATTATTATTGTCCTTTCCGGGTTTGGAGGACAGGATCAGAGTAGGAGGGACCCTAGTAATAGCGCCATGTGCCATGTGGATCCAGAAGGGGGATAGAAAGGAGTCAAATACCCCACCATTTGTGGGGGCAACCTGAATGCCAACTTTCCCAACGCCCAGTCAGTTCGGCAGGGGGCAGGGGTGATGCTCCACCACCAAGCACATATGGCACCAGTCAAATAGCTGATGTTTATTGAGTGTCCGCTACATGCCAGGCACCATGCTTACCCTCATACTGTTCTCAAACAGCCCTGCAATGGGGATTCTGTTATTAACTCCATTAATAACAAAGGCACAGGGAACAAAGTGACTTTCCTAAGGTCATACCATTGAAACGGGGCTGAGTCAAAGGTTAGAACCAGGCTCTGTGACTCTAGTCTGGATTTTTAATGCTGCCTCCATGTCAACAGCCTAAGTGGAAAAACAGCTCATCTGCTCTTTACTTACTGGGCCCCTGTGCTAAGCTGGTCCCTGGGCCAGGCTCTGAGCCACCCTGACACGGGCTCTGCACTAAGGAGCTTGTCAGTGGGCGTGTCAGTGCTGGGTAAAGGGGTTCTCAGCAGCCCTGGGGCAGCCTGGGACCGCCCCCTAGAGGCAGGCTGTGGAGTGTGGGCTCTGCATGGCTGGTTCCCACATGCTCCGGCTTGGCTGCTGGCAGGAAGAAGATCAAGCTCAGAGGGCTGGCCCTGGATCACAAGGTGACAGGTGACCGCTTCTACACCCACGTGACCCTTGTGGGCCAGCGGCTGAGTCAGAAGGCCCCCAGCCTGGAGGACGGGGCCGACGGCTTCATCTCATCCCAGGACCTTCATGGCATCTCAGAAAACCCTCCTGAGAGTGAGTGTCTGGTCCAAGTGGCGGCCTTGGGGGATGGGGAGGGTGGGTCCCCATGCTTAGTGAGCATTCATGCCTCAGCACTCGTTCTCTTCCCTCTTCCCCTCTCACAATGCCCCATGATGTAGGTGGGGCATGCTTCCCATTTACAGAATGGGGGAAAATCAGAGCTCCGAGAACTCCGGGAAGTTCAGATTCAGGGTACTCTGCTGGAGTCCTGGAATGGGTGGGGGGAGCTTCCAGAATGGGGCAGGGGCTCCATTCAGCTGGTTTCAGCAGGGCTCCCTGCAACCTCTGAACCTCTTGCATCAGATACTGCCAGGTGAGCAGCCTCCGGGCTGGGCTCTCCCACGCCTGGCTGGCTGGCTCCCCCTGCTGGCCACCAGAGGAGCCGCACCCGCTTTCTGCCTGGGCCACTTCCCAAGGTGTAAGCTTCCAGATTAGTGGAAGGAGCCTCCTTGGAGGCAGGAGATGGTGGGTTTGGGTCCCGCTCCCCGTTTATAGGCCGTGTGACTTGGGTAGATCACTTAACCCTGCTCTCGCTCTTCTCATCTCTTAAACTAGCACTAATAACACCAACCTCTCAGGGAAGTTAGTTGTGGGGATTGAATGAGGCCGTGGATGTTCAGGCTCCTTGTAAACTGCAGAATGCTGTGCTGTTATGAAGGTGTTAGTCCCACTGCTGGTCCTCCCACAGCTGAGTTATGGGCATGAGCTGAGTCTGGCCAACCTGTGGCTTCAAACTGTGTGAGCTCAGGCAAGTCATTGAGCTCTGAGCCCAGTTTCCCATGTGTAAAATGTGGTAAAGATAGGGTTGTTGTACAATTTGATTAGATGGGATAATACACGTCAAGTGTGCAGCACGTGGTAAGTGCTTAATAAATAGTAGCTAGAGTTATTATTGCCACAGAAGCATAGGGTATGCACCCAGAGGAGATCTGAAAATGTTGTTGAGACAGCTACAGAGCTGGGCAAGAACTTGGAGGCCAGTGAGTCTGAACCCTCGTTTTTGAAGAAACCAGTCCCTCTCCAAAGTCACATAGTTTCAGAGCCCCCATGAGAACTGCATCCGCTGGGTCCATCTGAGGGAATGGAAGAGCTGGGCCTCAGGGGCGCCCCCGCTGTCTCCCCAGATTCTGTCCCCTTCCGCAAGAGCCTCTGCTCCCCCATTTTCCTGTGGAGCCTCCTCACCATGGGCATGACCCAGCTGCGGGTCATCTTCTACATGGCCGCCATGAACAAGATGCTGGAGTACCTCGTGACGGGGGGCCAGGAGCATGGTGAGGTGCTGCTGAGGGGCTGGGGGGCACAGGAGGGTCACCCTGGCTGATCTCCTCTCACCCTGGCTTCTCCCCTACTCCCAACAGAGACGGACATCCTGACACAAAGGGCAGAAGAGACAGGTAGGGGGACGAAAGCTGGGGCTCCGGCCCATACCCACGCCACCACTGCCCACTCCACAGGGAGCCTGGACCCAGCCTTGTCACCCTGGGCGTTTGGGGGATCTAAGAATCTGGAGTCAGAGGAAGGCTGTTCTGGCACTCCCTCTCCTCTGCCGGAAGTGGGGGCAGTGCCCACGGGGCTGCTGGCATCCCTCATCCCAGCTGCTGACCCCACTTCTCTTCCCATCCTGCCCAGTTGGGTTCTACTCCTCCATCTTTGGTGCCATGCAGCTGTTGTGCCTTCTTACCTGCCCCTTCATCGGCTACATCATGGACTGGCGGATCAAGGACTGCGTGGACGCCCCCACGGAGGGCATTGCCCTCGGAGACGCCAGGTGACCTGCACAGGGTCACAGGGTGCACAGGGATGGTGACAGCAAGTAGTCAGATGGTGCTTTTCGTTTTCTCCCTGCTTTCACATCCAGCATCTCATTTCATGCTCCTGAGAGCCCTGGGAGAGCAGGGGTACCTCCCCATTTTACAGATGAGGCAACTGAGGCTAAGAGAGGCCATGGCTTGCTTAATAATAAGTATAGCTGACATCGAGTGCTGGCTGGGCACTAGGCGCCTTGCATTGTCTTATTTAGTCCTGCAACAGCTCTCTGAGGTAGGGACATTATCCTCATTTCACAGATGAGGAAGCTGAGACACAGACAGGTTAAGTAACTTACCGAAGATCACACAGCTTTTAGTAGCAGGCTCCAGAACATATGTTAGAAAGGGGACACTCTAAAGCCTTCTTAAGGCTAGGAAGAGATAAAGTTGGTGTATTAGATATCTATTGCTGTGTAACAAATTACCCCAAAACTTGGCATCTTTAAACAACAAACATTTATTGTCTCATTTAGTTTCTGCGAGTCAGGAATCTGGGAATGACTTAGCTGGGTGGTTCTGGCTCAGAGTCTGACTGAGGCTGTTCGGGCTGGTATAACAAAATACCGCAGACTGGGTAGCTTATAAACAACAGAAATTTCTCGTGGTTCTGGGGCTGGAAGTCTGAGATCAGAGTGCCAGCATGGTTGAGTGAGGGCCTTCTTCTGGGTCACAGGCTCCTCAGTGTGTTCTCACCTGGCAGAACGAACTAGGAAGCTCTGTGGGGTCTCTTTTATAAAGGCCTAATCGCATGATGAGGGCTGTGCCCTCATGACCTAATCACCTCCCAAAGGCCCCACCTCCTAACACCGTCACATTGGGCATTAGGATTTCAACATAGGAATTTTGGGGGGACAAGCATTCAGACCACAGTGGAGTCTCTCATAAGGTTGTAGTCAGGCTGTTGGCCAGGGCTGCAGTCATCTGAAGTAATGATTGGGGTCAGAGAGTCTGCTCCTAACTCACTCGTGTGGTTGTTGGCAGGAGGTTGGATTCCTCCCCAGCCTGGGCCTCTCCACAGGGCTGCTCACAACATGGTGGCTGGCTTCCCCCAGAGCGAGAGATGGAAGGGAGGGAGACCAAAACAGAAGCTGTAGTGTCTTTCATAACGTCATCTCAGAAGTGACGTACTATTACTTCTGTCATGTTCTGTTGTTGGCGGCCATCTTGTTGGCTGGAGACCACCGTTGGGTCTTGAACCGAGGTCTTCTGACTGCTTGTGCTTTTTTTTTTTTTGGGGTGTGTGTGTGTGTGTGTGTGTGTGTGTGTGAGGAAGATTAGCCCTGAGCTAGCATCTGTTGCCAATCCTCCTCTTTTTTCTGAGGAAGACCGGCCCTGGGCTAACATCCGTGCCCCTCTTCCTCTACTTTATATGCGGGACTCCTGCCATAGCATGGCTTGATACGTGGTGCGTAGGTCCAGGCCTGGGATCCGAACCTGTGAACCCCAGGCTGCCGAAGTGGAACGTGCGAACTTAACTGCTACGCCATGGGGCCAGCCCCTGCTTGTGCTTTTTTTGTGTTAATCCACATAGTCCCGTTTGCCCTGAGAGGCTGGGAAAGGGAGACTAGGAGAGAAGGCAGTGAAGGAACATTCCAGTGGCTTCCCTCCCTGCCAGTGGTGCCCGGCCCTGGCACCCAGCCTTCTTCCTCTATCCTCTGCTCCTGATGGCCAGGGTCCATTAGCCAAGGGCCCTTCTGTCTAGGACTGATGGGCAGCCTGCCCTCATCCCAGCCTACTGACCTCTCCCCTGGGCCAGCCTCAGAGCCCTTGATCATGCTAGGGAGAGGGGCCGGCTGGGCAGTTAGGGGCCAAGCTGCTGTCCCCAGAATGGCATTTACATTTGTCCAGGCTGGTGGGCAGAGACAGCTTTCCTAGGGCTTCTTTTTTTTCCCCTCCCCAAAGCCCCAGTACATGGTCATATATCCTAGTTGTAGGTCCTTCTAGTTCTTCTGTGTGGGACACCACCTCACCATGGCTGGATGAGCGGTGAGTAGGTCTGTGCCCAGGATCTGAACCAGTGAACCCCGGGCCGCCAAAGCGGAACGCGTGAACTTAACCACTACGCCGCCGCCACTGGGCCGGCCACTCTCCTGGGGCTTCTGATGAGAGACGGTGTGAGAGCTCCCCGTGCTCCACCTTCCTTCCCATCATTGATTCTCAGACTTCAGTCTGCATGTGAAATACCTGGGATCTTTGTCAAAATGTGGTTTCCTGGGCCCCCCTCCCAAGATTCTGACGTCTGAGGTGAGGCCCGGAATCTGCATTTATTTATTTTTTTTGTGAGGAAGATCAGCTCTGAGCTAACATCCGTGCCAATCCTCTTTTTGCTGAGGAAGATTGGCCCTGGGCTAACATCTGTGCCCATCTTCCTGCACTTTATATGGGACTCCGCCACAGCATGGCCTGACAAATGGTGCCTCGGTGTGCACCCGGGATCCGAACCCGGGCCGCCAACAGCAGAGCGCATGCGCTTAACTGCTAAGCCACGGGGCCGGCCCCCGGAAGCTGCATTTTTAAGAAAGACCCCAGGCGATGCTGGTGTAGTTGGTGGGGGAGCCACACTTCGAGAAACACAGGGCTGGAGAAAGAGTTTTTTCCCTTTTTTGCTACCCTGATGGCAGAGGCACAGCAGAAGGGAGAGGGGCTGGGCTGAGAACCAGGGAGCTGCCGGGGAGGTAGAGGCAGCATCCAGTGACGGCCTGTTCTCCTCAGGGATGGGGTTGCCACCAAGTCCGTCAGACCGCGCTACCGCAAGATCCAGAAGCTCACCAACGCCATAAACGCCTTCACCCTGACGAACTTTCTGCTTGTGGGTTTTGGCATTACCTGCCTCATCAATAGTTTACACCTCCAGGTACCCACCTCCATCCTCCCGCTCTCTCTGCCTCCTGGGACCCCTCCAAAGGGCTGGTTCATCTGACGCCTGCCTTCCAGGAAGCATCTCATCCCCTGGGTCTGACTGTCTTCTGGGTTCTCCAGGAAGTGTTTCCAGTAGGTTGGGTTGGCGAAGGGTTAGGAATGTGTAGATGGCTCCGAGAGGTTGCGTTTCCCTCTTCACCTTACCCATCCTTCCCCTTGCCTCCACACCCACTTGTTTTATTTTTTATTTTTTTGATGTCCTAATGGTTTATAACACTGTGAACTTTTAGTTGTACATTATGTTTGTTGGTCATCATATAAATGCGTCCCTTCACCCCTTGTGCCCACCCCCTAACTCCCTTCTGCCTGCTAACCAAACTGTTCTCTTTGTCTGTGTGTTAATCTTCCACATATGAGTGAAATCAGGTGGTGTTTGTCTTTCTCTGTCTGGCTTATTTCGCTTAACATAGTACCCTCCAGCTCCATCTATGGTGTTGCAAATGGGATGATTTTGTCTTTTTAATGGCTGAGTAGTATTCCATTGTATATATATACCATATCTTCTTTATCCAATCATCAGTTGAGGGACACTTACGGTGCTTCCACTTCTTGGCTATAGTTAATAATGCTGCGATGAACATAGTGGTGCATAAGCCTCTTTGGATTGTTGATTTCAGGTTCTTTGGATAGATACCCAGTAGTGGGATAGCTGGATCTTAAGGTATTTCTATTTTTAATTTTTTGAGGAATCGCCATACTGTTTTCCATAGTGGCTGCACCAGTTTGCATTCCCACCAGCAGTGAATGAGGGTTCCCTTTTCTCCACAGCCTCTCCAACATTTGTTATTTTTTGTCTCGGTGGTTATAGCCATTGTAACAGGTGTAAGGTGATATCTTAGTGTAGTTTTGATTTGCACTTCCTTGATGATTACTGATGTTGAACATCTTTTCATGTGCCTATTGGCCATCTGTATATCTTCCTTGGAAAAATGTCTGTTCATATCCTCTGCCCATTTTTTGATTGGGTTGTTTGTTCTTTTGTTGTTCAGTTGTCCACACCCGCTCTTAACCTCTCCCCTCTCTCTTTTTGGTTTCAGTTTGTGACCTTTGTCCTGCACACCATGGTTCGAGGTTTCTTCCACTCGGCCTGTGGAAGCCTCTACGCTGCAGTGTGAGTCAGCCTGGGCTGAACTGCCTTCCTGAGCTTTCCCCCATAACCAGAGAATCCCAGAGCAGAGTAGAAAGGGCCCCAGACACCCCTTAACGCACCCTTCCCTGGAATGCTGACATCTCAGGGTTGCTGGGGATCTTGGAGGCTGTCTGGTCCACGGCCCTCTCTGAGCTCCTCCAGCAACGGGGAGCTCACTTCCTCAGGGGCAGCCTACCCCACTCGAGACGACTCCAATGTCCGAAAGTGTTCCCTTCAAGGAAGCTGAAATACTTGGTTCAATGACACTTTGGTTCTATGTCTGCTCTCTGGAATGGTCCCCAAAGTGGCCTCTCTCCCCATGTCAGCCTGTAGAGATTTCCAGAATGCAGTCATGTATGTCTTATAACTTTCCTGCTTCACGTTGAACAGCCCCCAGTTCCCTTTCCCCCTTCTCTTCCTTTTTTTTTTTTTGTGTGAGGAAGATCAGCCCTGAGCTAACATCCGATGCCAATCCTCCTTTTTTTTGCTGAGGAAGATTGGCCCTGGGCTAACGTCCGTGCCTATCTTCCTCTACTTATATGGGACGCTGCCACAGCATGGCTTCACAAGCAGTGCTGTGGTACGCGCCCAGGGTCCAAACCTGTTACCCCGGGCCGCCAAAGCGGAGCGCGCGCACTTAACTGCTGCACCACTGGGAGGCTCCTCCCCTTTTCTTCTGATTTCCACTGCTGTGCTGCTGAGTGACCCTCTCTTGTGTGTGCGATGAAGTAATATGGGACATCACAGTAGCGATTACAAAATCGTTACTGAGTGCTTACTCCATGGCAGGCACAGTGGGGGGTGCTAGTCAAGCACCCCCTCATTTAAACCTCAGAGGGCAGCTCCCTTGCCTTCACTGCTCAAGCCAGAACCTTGGAGCCACCCTTGATTCTTCTCTTCGTCGCACTCCACACCCAATCCATCACAACCCTGCTGGCTCCACATTCCACGTGCCTCAAATCCCACCCCTTCTCATCATCTCTGCCGCTGCCATCCTATCCTGGATAGACAGCTCCCTGCATCTGCCTTTGCCCTCCTGCAGGCTCCTTTTAACACAGGAGCAGGAGACACGTGTTAGGACATAAGTCTCATGTCACTCCATGGCTGCCCGTCTTGTCTCACTCAGAGAAAAAGCCAGAGGCTTTATCATGGCTTAAAAGATCTGGCCTCTGGAACTTCTCTGCCTTCTTCCTTCCTCTTCCCCTCCCCACCCCTGCTCCCTCCCCCCTGCCACTGGGGCCGCTTCATGCCTCAGAAACCTCAAACCCTACTCAAGGCCTTTGCACTTGCTGTTACCTCTTTCTAGAACATTCTTCCTCCAGATATCCACAATGCTCACAGCTGTCTCACCTTCTCCAGGTCTTCACCTAGCTGTCTTCAGTGAGGCCTCCCCTGGCCATCCTATCTACAGTTGCAAGCCCCTTGACACCCCTACTCCCTTTCTCTGCTATACTTCTCTTCTTAGCTCTTATCACTGTCTCACACATTTTGCATTTATCTCGTTTATTGTGTGACTGCCACCCGCTCACCAGAATGCCGCCTCCACGAGGGCAGGCATCTCTGTCTGGTTCATTGCTGAATCTCCATGCACCTAGAATGGTACTTGACACATAGTAGGAGCTCAATAAATATTTGTTAAAAGAATAAACGAACAGTCCAGTGAGGCTAGTGCTATTCTTGTTTTTAGTGGAAGAAGTGAGGCTCAGAGAGGTTGAGTTACTTGCTGTTATCACACAGACAGTAGGTGTTAGAAGCCAGTTCGGTGCCCCTGAAGTCACAGCATACACCTTGAAGGCCAGGGACTGAAGAGCACCTACATAGAGCCTGAACTCTTTTTTTTTTTTTTTTTTTTTGCTGAGGAAGATTGGCCCTGGGCTAACATCCATGCTGATCTTCCTCTACTTCATATGTGAGATGCCTGCCACAGCATGGCTTGATGAGTGGTGCCTAAGTCCACCCCCAGGATCCAAACCTGCAAACCCCCGGCCGCTGAAGCGGAGCGTGCGCATTTAACCACTACGCCACTGGGCCGGCCCAAGCCTGAACTCTTAAGCTCTGCCATGCCTGGCTAACACAGAGCAGTGTCCAAGCGAGGGAGCAGGAGAGGGCCACACGCCCCTCATGCTTGGCCCCCTTTCCTTGACAGGTTCCCGTCCAACCACTTTGGGACGCTGACAGGCCTGCAGTCGCTCATCAGTGCTGTGTTTGCTCTGCTGCAGCAGCCGCTCTTCATGATCATGGTGGGACCCTTGAAAGGAGAGCCCTTCTGGGTGAGAACTCAGGGTGGCCTGGGGCGAGCAGGAGCCCTTTTCATGGGTGCAGCTGAGGAGTTGGGGATGGGGGGGCTTGTATATGATAGAATCCCTCCCTCTTCTCATCTCAGCCAGGAGGCGCCTTGGGGGGTCTCTATTCTGGGGGTTCCCAAGCTGGCTGCCCATCAGAACCCCTCACGGAGTGTTAAAAATACAGATTCTCCAGGCTGCTGAATTGGCGTCTCTTGGCCTGGGCCCAGGAGTCTGTTTTTAATAAGCTCCCAGGTGATTTGTGAAGTGGCCCAGCCCTGATCCAATCCAGTTCTGCTCAAAGCACGGATTCTCTCTCCAGCAGCCCTGAAATGCGCTTCCTCCAAACCCTGTTAGCTCAAACGCCCTCAGTGACGGGGCGCCACCCCTGCATGAGGCAGCAGCCATTGGTATCGTTAGAGGGGCTTTTCCTTACACTGAACCAACATCTGCCCCCATAAAGCTGATCTCTCTGCCCCATGGGGCCACCCACTCCGGTAAACCTTCCGCCTGCATGAACGATGATGAAATGACAGCTCCCATTTTCTGAGCGCTCACTAGGTACTAAGCACTCTGGGTACTTCTTTCGCTTCATCTTTGCCACGATAGCCCGGAGAAGGAGGCACTTAGAGTGGAGATGACTGGCCCAGAGCTGCACAGCGAGTAATGCAGAGCAGAATGGGAGCCGAGTCCAAGCCCACGTGAGGGCCACTGTGCTGGGCCTCGCAAGCCTTCTGTCCTCTTGGCTGCACGCCCCAGCTCCTTTAACTGCCTGAGAGCATCTCCTCCTCACCCTGGATGGGATCTCATTGTCAGCGTCCTCAAAGGTCAAGGTTCCCAGCCCCGAAGGTCCCATTTCAGGAGCAACTTGACGAGCCCAGACTCCCTCAGGGTGTTGCCTTCTGCGTATCTACTCAGAGGCTGCCACATCGTGTGGGCACGGGTGTTACAATCTGCCGAACATTACATGAGAACCTGGTGGAACAGTGCTTGAACTCAATAAGTGCTAGCTATAGTCATCATTCTGGCCCAGGCCCTGGAGCAAAAATGGTGCCTTCTCCTCCCTGTGGGCGGCTAAGGAGGGTCCCTGAGGGTGATGAGGGCTAACGGGTACCTACGTGACTCTTCCTCTCTCTCTCCTTGCCCTAAAGGTGAACCTGAGCCTCCTGCTGTTCTCACTCCTGGGATTCCTGCTACCTTCCTACCTCTTCTACTACCGTGCCCGGCTTCAGAGGGAGTATGCCACCCACTGGGAGAACCCGCTGAAGGTGCTTGGCAGCCCCGAGGCAACTGCCTAGACCTCTGAGGCCAAGGGACGTGGATGACAGACAGCCAAGACCTGAGCGACCAAAGAGAATGCCTCACATGGCTTTTCTACCTGTAACAGACGCACAGAGCCAGCGGCCGTGGATTTATAAATACCGAGAGAAGTTCTATTTTTGTAGGGACTTGCTAAAAGGAAAAAAAAAATCCTAAAAAAAATCCCCCAAAGCAACGCTCCATTGATTGAAGACAGTCCCTGCGCTAAAAGGATGGGGTCTTCTTCCTCCTCGGACTGGATGCAGGGTGCAAGGCTTCCCTTTCTCTGGGCCTTTGTCCTAGGGGCCTGCCTCCTGCTGCCTCCTGGGGGCTTCTGGGATCAGCAAACCAGCTACCCCCAAGGTCTCAGCTGTGCAATGCCCAGAGTGTGCATGCGTGTGTGTGTGCATGTGTGTGTGTATGAAATAATCTTCCCCTCATAGGAAAGGGGCCTGAGGTGCTGGCTGTGTCCTGGATGGGGTGGGAGGTAAGCCTCTTCTAGGATCTGGAGGGCGGGTTCCCTCCCTGATGCTGCTTCTTGTAGGTCTTAGAGGAAATAAAAAGGGAAGTGAGAGATTGGCTGGTGTGTGCCTGTGTCTTCAGGGGGTTGTCTTCCCACAGCCCCGTCCCTCTTCCTCACCTGGGCTCGGCTGGGCATTAAGTAGGACTCCTAAAGTGCCAGCCTGTCCACCTCTGGCTGTCTGGCTCACCTCCCTGTTCTCAACCATGTCCTGCCCTTAGTGTCTGGAGGGAGTCCAGAGTCTTCCCTCTGCTCCTGCCCCCCACTTCCCAGGGTTTGGGGGCCTGGGAGGCTGGCCTTTTCTCCATAGGGGGCGTTCAGCACAGGATGCTCTAGAAAGAATGCTCAGGGCTGACTCTCAAACTTTCCTGCCAAAGCATCCCTGGGGATTTGTTGAAAGTAACACTTTTTTATAGTCTCCTGTTTTATCTTAAAACTTCATGCAAATTTTGAGCTTCACTTCATGCTATATTTATATTTACTTTTAGCATTAAAATGAAGCTTTAAAATTACCTACATCAAGGGAAGACATCTTTGAGGACTAGGGACCTTCCAGGAAGATACACATTATTTATCCCAGTCCTACACCTGTTTGTGTCCCTAGGACATAAGCCTTCGAGGCTTATGGAGGGATGGGGCAGGGAGAGGGGATTAACATTTGTTGAGGATCTGCCTGTGCTACACAGGTATCTCATTTCATCCTAACTGTAGCCCAAGAGGTTGGTATCGGCATGGTATTTTGTAGATTGAGGAAAGCCCAGAGAGGTTAAGACACCAGACCAAGGGCACACAGCTGGTGGTCGCGGAGCTGAGCTTGGAACCTGGGCAGTGACTGCTGAGTCCTAACCATAGGCCTGCCAAGGCAATCAGGGGCGGAAGGGAGGTCCCAAGCTTCTCAGTCCAGCTCTCAGCTGCCCTCTCAGGGCTGAGAATGACCTCAAAGGCCTTATCCAACTCCCCCCCAAAAACCTTGAAGAACCCCCAAATGTTAGCGCTGGAAGACATATTACAGATAAGCCCTCCCTTTGTCTTAAACTCTCCTTAGAAGTTAATGAAACAGACTGACTCACCCATTTTACACTTGAGAAAACATGTCCAGAGGGGTCGGGAGACTTGGCCAAGTCACACAGCAGATCCCTGGCTGCTCTGAGCCCAGACTCTTGGCTTCCAACACAGTGCCCTTTTGCAAAATACAAAATCAGAATTGGACAGCACCAACCAACCGGTTGGGTGGATTCCCAGAGGGCCTGCCCGAGTCGCACTGCACTCTCTGTCCCGGACCTAGACTTTCCGAACGTTCTGTTGGAGGTTGATCGTGAGCGATGGACGGGAGTGGGATCCCTCCAGATTCGAGGTGAGGGCGGGTGGAGGAAGCCAGGCGTGTGCGCTTGGTACTCGGTGTGCCCAGCAGGCGGCGCTGCGTGGCTGCGGCTGGGACCGGGTGGGAGGGGGTCGCGAGCCAGAAAGGGGACCCTCAAACCCCCTTCACACACACCCTCGACCCACTCGTTGGCCCTTCCCGGCTCTCGACCTCCAGACCCCTACCCTGGCTTGCTCTGCCCTCCTTTGAGATCTCCCCACGCCTTCCCGACCCCGACCCTTTCAAGCGTGATCTCCAGCCCCACCGACCCTCGCGACGGAAGGCGGGGGCCTCGACGCGAGCCACTGCCCAGCGGGGGCTTGGAACCCGGTGGGAGATGCAGGCAGAAGTCTTGGCCTCCTGGGGGAGGGGTGTCTTCTCACTCCCCACCAACTCCCGGGGTGGGGAGCCTGCGGAGGGGGCTGGGCAGGGGCGGAAGCGAGCTAGAGCCGTGTTTGTCGCGGCGCTGCCGAGTTGAACAGATGGCTGGGGAGGGGAGAGGGTACGTGGCGGGGAGGAGGAGGGGTGCGGGGGCCGGAGGATGAGGAACGAGGAATTTCGACGCCCGGAGTCTCCCAGGAGAAGCCCCCCTCCCCATCTCTTCCCAGACAGAGGGGCGGGCAAGCGCCTGCCTTTTTCCCGGGGAGCCCTGGCCTCTGGCCCGCGGCAGCCCCCGCTGCGCGTCTCCGCCCCAGGGTGCGCCCCTCACCCCGCGGCCCCCCGGCGAGTCCGGGTGGGGGGGTCAAGGCCGCAGGGAGCGGCCCGGGTCGCAAGGGTTAACGGGGACGCACTCGGAGGGGCGAGGGGGCGGCGGGAACCGGGCTTCCAAGCTGGGAGCGAGTTCAGGGATCGGATCGTAAATAGCTGAGGGAAAACGTGTTAATTGGAACTTGATGCAGATGAGCTGGGACCTGGGGGTTGGGGGTAGAGGGAGGAAGGTCAGACGTGTGCTGGACCCGAGCCGACTTCCGAGCAGAGAGGTGGAGGGCTCTGGCCGGGGCACTGATAGGTGTGTACCCATTGTTTGTGTGAGTTGAACCCCCGGGGAGAAGGGGCGCTGGTCCTTAGGGATGAGAGGTTTCCCCCCTGACCCTCCGCCCCAGAATCGGGGTGTGGGACTCTTCCAGGGTCTCCACATCCCGGGACCAGAAGTTCAGGGTCTCAGATCGCCACGAGGAGGGTGGGGGGCACCCTGTGTCTGTTTCCGCTTGTGGCGGCCTACATTGGGAGTCACCTTCGCTGTGTCCCCCCACCCCCCATCCGTCGTGATGTCCTCTCGCTCTGCCTCCTCCATCCTTTATTCCCCATCCCTGGCATCACCCTCTCCCCACAGGAGTATTGTCTGCAACTTCTGCCAAGTGAGCATGGGGGAGGGGGGTAATTTTTCTCCCCTTGCTTTCTCCTGTCTGTCTGCCCCCCAGGGACCACCCCACCTTTGAGCTGCTTTTCAATCTTTAGGGTGCTTCATAACCCTCCCCCACTTGTTAAAATGCAGATGCCGGGGCTCCCTTAGAGATCTGAATCAGCAGGTCTGAGGGGCTCAGGAATCTGCATTTAGCAGCTTCCCACCTAAATCAGATGTAAAAGACCTTCATTTTTAGAAACACTGTGCAGGGAATTGGTGGGCTGGCAAGACTGGGCAAGCTTCCTTCAACAGTCCTCACTCCCAACCCTTCCTCCATGCTCCTGACCTCTCCTCTCAGCATGGTTGTCTCTGCTTCAGGGTGTGGAAAAGGTGCCAGGAAGGAAGGGAGGGAGGGAGGGAGGAAGGAGAAAGAGAGATTAGAAAGAGTGAATCTGCACTTAGCTCTTCTCCCTCTGTGCAGGGTCTTGCCCCTCCTCTCTGCTCCCTGCTTCCCTCCCCTCTGCCTCACCTGCTCCATCTTGCTCTCGTACTCCACCAGCCTTGCCTCACCTTCTTGCTTCCCTTCCCCCTCATCTGAAGTTTCTAGCAAGGCCAGAGGATCGTATAGTGGGCGGTCTTGATTTTAGGGGGGAATGGCAGAGCCAACCAAACACCCCACCTCCAAAAGAAAGAGACAGAGGCACCTCTGGGGTTGGAAGAAAACGGGAGGAGGGAGGCAGGCCTTGAGGAAAGATAATAATAACAGCAAACATATAGGTCACCTTTCCAGGGGCTATTGCACTTACTCCCCAAAACAACTCGATTTAGACAGGCGCTGTTGCCCCCAGGTTATAAACGAAAACAAAAACAAAAACTGATGTTTGGAGAGGTTAAGTAACTTGCCCAAGGTCACACAGTAAGTGGGAGAATAACTAGGTCATTCACCGTTCTACTTTCCCCAAATCACTTCTCCAGAGGCTGCTGGGGAGCTGTCCCAGGCCTGCCCCCCTTGCCCCACCCCCAGGAGCAATGGGAATGGGGAAGGGCATCATGTACATAGTGGAAAGGAGATGCTCAAGTTTCGGAACATCTGACAGGTCTGGCTGGAAGCATTAAAAATTCATGTAGAAACCTGACCCCAGCTGGACCTTGGGCCTGCCACCTGGACCATCCATGGCCTTGTGGCCTCTCAGAGCCTGGTGGGCCCATTTCCTTTTGGCAGTGTCCTGGGGAGCCCCATGTCTTTGTGTTTCATAGGAAAGGGGTTCTCTCACGGATCAGGGAGCTAAAGTCAGGAGCCAGCAGCTCAGAAAGCAGGGCCCTCCCCCCACTCTGAGTGTAAGAACCTTAGAGGCTTAAGGGCTTATAAACCTTGTCATCTGTCATGTCCTTCTATTCCTCTCCCCAGGCAGATAGATGCTCACTCTCAGTTTAGGATGACTGAAGCCTGGCTGTGATTCCCCAGGTGGCCAGTTGGGGGCAGCCATCTGCTTGGAGGGAGCCTGAGCCTGAGCCTCTACCCACAGCTTTGAAGGACCAAAAAAGAACCCCCATTGATAAGGTCTGAGAGATGCACTTTGGGCCTTGGGGAAGGGCTCTGTCATCTGAGGAGAGGGGGAGGGCTTTTCTAGTTTGAGGAACTTCAGGGAGAGTTCAAAGTAGGTTTGTGGGTTTCAAGTGCGCGATAACTGATGGCCAGCGTGATACAAACATTCTAGCTGGAGTGAAGATTTAGGATGAGGCGGTGAGAGAAAAAGCTAGAAAGGCCATTGGTACCAGACTCTGAAGGATCTTTGATGCTTTTCTGAGATGTTTTATCTTTAACGTGTAGGCACTAGGGAGCCATTGTAGGTTCCTGAGTGACATGATGACATAACGCAAATTTTGGTCAGGTGAATCTGGCCACCGTGGGCAGGCTGGGTGGGAGGGAGAGAGAGATTGAATGTAGGAAAACCAGCGAGGACGTTATTGCTATTTTCCTCTATATTCTAGGCATGAGGTAATGAGGAGATGGATCAGGGAGACGGTAGGGGGAATGGAATGAAAGAGATGGATTGGGGCCCCCAGGGGGAGTGGGTAAGTGAGTAGATATAGATTAGAGAAAGGGAGGAGTTAACTATAACTAGGCTGGATGTCTGGCAGACAAGAGAATGCAGAATGTGGGCACTCATAAAATGCAGGAGGTGAATGAGTTTTGTTTCCTTTAGAGATGGGGAGTCTTGGACAAGTCCCTTCCCCTCTTTGGGCCTCAGTTTCCCCATCAGAGCAATGGTGGTGGTTGGACTAGATTGCCTTAGAACCTCCCTCCTATTTCAGGGTGTGCGGCTCAAGACTGTAAATCTGAGTCGTTT